CTGGCTTGACATGGGCGTGTAGTACCCCAGGGCGGTGTTTCCATTGCTTGGCGAGCCAGGCGCCGTAGGCCCTCTTGGACTTAGCGAGGGCGGCGGAAAGCGCTCTGGAGGCCCAAGTAGCAGTAATGGTGACCAAGTCGTCGGTGTCCTCGTTGTCCAAGTGCGGGGCCCAGACGAGTGCAAACCAGCGGAAGATGGTGTCCTCGTCCTTCTCGAACTGGAGGTCGTGAAAGTGAGCGCTGAAGTGGTCCGCGCGCTGCTGGATGATGGAGGCCTGCTGCTGCATGAGCGCTGTGTGCTTGGGCTTGTCGTGAAGTGCAGCGTAGCGCTTGATGAGGGTGAGCCTGATTGCCCACCATTCTGACTGAGGGTCGTGTACGTGAACGCGTCCTGGGGCGGCGGCCGTCTTCTTCCAGGACAATTGGTAGCCTTGGGCACGGCCTGTGAAGGCTGCGGCTTCCTTGGGGTCGATCTGGTGGTGGCTGATCATGGTGTTCTCGAGCGCCGTGACCCATTTGGCGTACTTGAGGTTGAGGTCGTCGGCGTCGTGCGCCCAGTGAGTGTACACGAAGTGCGCGTGGGGCTGCTTACAACGTGTGGGTACTGCTTGCTGCCATTGCTCCTCCCAGAGGTCGGTCGGGATAGCGTAAGGGATAGTCTCCTGTGCTGCGGGCTCGTCTTGAGGCTGGAGTTGTGCTGCTGCTTGTTGGAGTTCAGGAGGTAGTTCGCGTAGGCGTGCTGCTCGAGCTTCTGCTGTTTTGCGTCTCTTGATGGCGGACTTGCTGTTGGGGTCAGGTGGGATCCTGGGTCTGTCCACTGTGGGGAATGCTCTGGGGGTATGGATCGACTGATACCACCAGGGGTCTGCACTGCCTGCTCGAACCTCAAGGCCCACGTGGGTGGCCCAGGGGACGGTGGGGCACTGGCGAATGGAGATCGTGTGCTCGATGCCAGTCTTGACCAATGCGAAGTCGAGCGTGAGTCCCTGGCCTTTGTCGCACGTGGCAGATCCAGGCGCTCGCACGATGGTAGCATTCCATTTGGCGGGCCACTCTGTCGCTGCGAGCTGCTCAGGAGTCATATTCCAATCGGCCAGGATGATCCAAGGGTCAGTGAGCATAGTAACGAAGGCCCCCAGCGAGAGTAGCTTATCGTGCACTGCACCCTCGATCTGCCTGTGGGGTTCCAGGTATGCTGCAATAACGACCAGGTTGCCCGAGCGTCTGTGCCATACCATGGGCGTGAAGCCTCGGAACGGGTCGGGCCTGCGCTGGGAGATGGCCAGGTCGCGGAGGTGGTTGAAGGTTGTGGCCTGGACGTGGTACCTGGAGAAGATAATCTCGCCGCCCGTGTTGCCTCCGTCGGATCTGCTGGTCGGCGTGGCTGTAGTCGATGATATCCTCCAACCATCTGCTGCTAGCTTGTCGTAGATGAGAGGGGCCTTACCGTGCGAGATGTGTGTTTCAACCAATGCCACCATCTGATATTGTTTGCCTGGTCCTGCCAACCATTTCTCCGACCGTGGCCCCCACTGGGTAATGTTGGAGAAGAAAAGAGAGTGATCTGACGGCGTGGGGTCGGGTCTCGCGCTGCTGGGCTTCCATGGGCCTTCCACAGCGGTCGAGTCGATGGCTTCTGCCATCTCATCGCCCCCTACCAAGGACTGCGTCTTGGGCGGGGCGGCATCAGGGTGTGCCATTGGCACCTGATCCCCTGGCGCCTGTACCAACTGCTTGTCGACAGCTTGGGCCGTCTCATCACTCCCTACCGAGGACAGCGTCTCGGGCGGAGCGGCATCAGGGTCGGCACGCGCGGCACGCTGCGGCTGCCCTGGGTCCCATAATACTGCGTCGACGGACTGCGCCGCCTCATCGCCCCCAGCCGAGGACAGCGTCTCGGGCGGGGCGGTAGCAAACTGAACTGTGGCTGCGAAATCGATGTGGGCGTCCAACTCGGCCAGCTCGTCGAACGGGTCGAGGACTGCGTCCATCGTGTTGATGATCGGTGGGTTGTCATATTTCTTGGTCTCTGACGGTAGGCGTCCCGTCTCACCATACCGTCCAGGGTCGGGTAGTAGTCGGCTAAAGAGGCTGCTGCGCTCCAGTCGCGGCAGCCGCGGTGGGCTTGCGCATCTGGCTGAGCATCTTCTGTGCCTTGTCTTCGAGGTCGGGGTCCTCGTTGATCGCTGGTACAGGCTGTGCAGCGACGCTGTCGTCAGAAGTAGCGCCAGCAGCAGGTGCGGGAGGCTCGTCGCCTGGTGCCGCTGTCGATGAGGCCGCAGAGCCATCAACGTCCGCTGCGGCTGCCGTTGGGGGTTCGCCTGCTGCCGCCGAGGCGGCGGGCGGAGATCCACCTCCCTCTCGGGCGTGACCGTCCTCGTCGGCCCGCTGACGCTTGGCGGCGAAGCGAGTGCGCATGGTGCTGGCCTCTGTGCGGAGCTGGCTGATGCGGCTGGCGGTGTTGCCGAAGAGCTCGGTGACCTTGGCCTTGAGCTCAGTGGCGAAGCGCTGCTGAAGGGATTCCCATGCCTGGCGATCGCTGTCGTCGATGTCGAGGCCTTGGAGATCGAACGCCGAACCCGCTTCGATGGATATGTCACCGTCCTCGGGCAGGCTGGTGAGGTTGAACGTCGGGTTCTGCTGCGACGTGGGAGTAGCCGTGCCGCCCTTGCGAGCGACTTGAAGGGCATCGAGAGCGGCCTGGGCCTCGGCCTGGGCTTCTGCCAACTTGTAGGCGGCCTCCTCCGACGCCGCCTTGCGCTCGGTGTACCAGCTGAGCGCCTTTTGCTCACTCTCGAGCAGCCTCTCGAGGTTGTTCTTGCAGCGGCGTTCCGTGGCCTGGGCGCGGCCCAAAAACCCGAGGGGGCACAACATCTCTGCTGGGGACCACCCATGCTCCGCTCGTGAGGAGGCACGCACACGGGTACCCTTGATGTTACGGGGTCGATGTAAGAGCCAGCCCTTGGAAATCAGACCCGTCGCCCAGAAAAAGTGGGTAGGAGCACGAAGTAGAGGAAGGCTTGAAAGTCGGCGAGACTGGGAGGGAGGTCAAATGCCAATCGGCCCTTGAAGGACAAGGCGCTTCTCATCGATCGTGAAGGCTTGAAAGTCGGCGAGACTGGAAGGGAGGTAAAATGCCAATCGGCCCTTGAAGGACAAGGCGCTTCTCATCGACCGTGCCCTAGGAATCCAGAACGACCTGCCTTCGTTGAGCGCGGGTCGAGAACAATGGCCAATGGTGCAGAGGCGGGCGAGGGGTGGCCCTGCGAGAGAGGAGGGAGGAGAAAGGCGAGAAGATAGGAGGGAGGAGGAGGAGGAGGAGGAGGAAGAGGAGGAGGAGGAGGAGGAGGAGCGTGAGCCCCCTCGCCAGTGGCCAAAAGCCTCCCGGAGGCTCCCTGGAGAACCCAATCACGAAGAACTCGATGCCACCCCTCCGCAGCCCAGGGCGCTGTTCGCCCTCGCGCCAGTTGTGACTCACACCGAGGCGGCCGTATTCCAAGCAGAACTCCCAGCGAACTCGGGAGCGGCCAAGAGGGGGGTGTGCAAATCATGACCGGCGGCACGTGCGCGGCCCAGCGGGGGGGCCAGGGACGTAATGAAATAAGAAGAGGCGCCGTGAAATCTGGGGAGATATCATGGCCCCCGCCATGGTATCCACCCCCCCCTAGTCATCACCCCCCTCTTTGCCGCCCCCGACGAACCTTCACGGGGGGCCTCTCCACGAGCCTAGCCGGGGCTGACTGGCTTGCTTCGGCCGTCCCCGCTGCGCCCTGGAGGCCACAGCCCAGGCACGGCTGCAGGATGGGCCCGCGAGGGCAGCCTGGCACCGCCTGAGCGCTTCCAGAACTCCAAGATCCTCAACTCTACTAGGTCCCCTACTGATGGAGGGCACCGGCCCATGCCTGGAACATGAGAGGGAAGGCTAAGGTTAAGTCGGGCCTATCCCTCTACAGGGGGAATATCCAAAAAGATTTGGGGACGATGTGTTCAATTATTGTTGATCATTTTTGGGTATGTTTGAAATATTTCGATTTTTCGTCCAAAACCCGCCTGTAGGGGGACATGCCCGACCTAAGGCTAAGGGGAGGAACATGTGATCGGCGACACGTCACGGAAAGATCGGCGATGGACCCTGGAGCAAATCCGCGCTCCTGGACGGGAAAGGTCTATCGGGCTCCCATCGGCGATCCATGGGCGATCGTGGGTCGGTGCATCCCCTCCTGAGCCTACCAGCCCTAACGTTAGGTCGGGCGTGTCCTCCTATACAGGGGGATGTTGCACGAAAAATAACAAACAGTAGAAATAATGAAAAATTCGGCCCCAGACTACTTCTCACTATATTTGAACACTCCTCCTGTAGAGGGACAGGCCCGACTGAACCCTAACGCTGTAAGCACCTCCGTGCCCCAGGAGAGCAAGAGGAACAGCACTGGAGGGACCTAAGGAACATCGAGCCCCTTCCGAACCCAAACTGTTCCTTCTTTCAGCGGCTTGACCGTATGACCCCTCCATCAAGACCCCGAGAGCTTACGATTAAGTCGGGCCTGTCCCCCTACAGGGGTATTTTTTTCGTCGGAAATCCCTCTGTAGGGGGACACGCCCGGCATAAGCTTACGAACGCGCTCCAAAAATCTGGAACAGCTCCGCCTCCCGCCGCACCCTGGGAGCAGCAGGACAGCACCGCACGGGGCCGAGGGCGCAGGGGAGCACGAGGAGGCGAGGAGGAGGAGAGGAGGGAGGAGGAGAGGAGGAGAAGGAGAGGAGAGGAGGAGGAGAGGTGGAGGGAGGGAGGAGGAGAGATGGAGGGAGGGAGGGAGGAGGGAGGAGGAGGAGGAGGAGAGGAGGAGAAGGAGAGGAGAAGAGGAGGAGAGATGGATGGAGCGAGGATGAAGGGGAAGGAGTGGGAGGAGGGAGGAGGGGGAAGGAGGAGCAGTTGCCCCCGATGTCGACCGGCGGGCGCGGGGCCGGCGCCCCCGCGCCGGCGGCGGCGGCGTTTTGGTCCTCCGCGGTGGAGCGCGAGAGCTTGCGGCCGTGGAAGCAGCGGTAGAACTCCTGGGCCGTCTGCGGGTCGACGAGGTTCAGGAAGGCGAAGCCACGGTTGGCCCCCGTGCGGATGTCCAGGGGCAGGTAGAAGAAGTCGTACCTGCATGGGCCACACCGAATTCTGTGGCGGTGCTAGAAGGAAGTCCACATCGGGGTCCACCTCGGCGACCCTGCTCGAAACTGGAGGAAACTGCCCCGCTCTCCAGGTGTAACATGGTCCTCGACAACATGTCTGGCCAGATGCGAAACGTGAGACGAGATCCACCTGCTCTCAGAAAGCGGAGCCGATGGAAGGCAACAGTATCCTGCGATCTTAGCCCCGCCTGGGTCGACCTTGATAGACAAAACTCATTCCATGGAGGAGGAGAAGGTGGAGCAGGAGGAGAAGGAGGAGGAGGAGGAAGGGGATAACGGAGAAGAACGAGGGGGAGAGGGAGGAGGAGGAGGAGGGAAGGAGGAGGAGGAGAAGGAGGAGGATAATAGAGGAGGATGAGGGGAGGAAGAAGAAGGGGAGACGGGAAGGGAGGGGGAGGAGGAGGAGAAAGGAGGGGAGAGGAGGAGGAGGCGGAAGAGGAGGAGAGGGAGGAGGAGGAGAAGAGGAGGAAGGAGGAGCATGAGGAGGAGAAGGAGGAAAGGCAGGAGGGGGAGGAGGCGGAGGAGGAGGAAGAGGAAGAGGGGCAGAGGAGGGTAGGCGGGAGGGGGAGGGGGAGGGGGATGCGGAGGCGGAGGGGAGGGGGAGGGGGAGGAGGAGGAGGAGCAGGAGGAGGGGGAGGAGGAGGAGGTTCAGTGTAAACCCAAGAGTCGTCAACGATGTTGGGGTGTAAACCCTCCCTCCAAGCTCCCTTTTCATAGGTCCTACAAGGGTTCATTTTCGCTGAGGGAGCTGCCTCCATGGAAGCCAACCGTTTGAACACACGGACGCACGCCAAACCGTTGTTCTCGGGATTCCAACGCCACGGAGCAGTCTGTCTGTTGCGTCTTGACGATCCCGAATCGTGTCAGAACGCCGTTCCTGGGACTGTAACCCTGCGAATCAACGTAACTGCTGCACCCTCATGAGGAGGAGGAGGAGGAGGAGGAGGAGGAGGAGGAGGAGGAGGAGGAGGAGGAGGAGGTGTAGAACTTCGGGGCGTTGGGTGGAAAGACGCCAGTGTGCCGTTTCAGGGCACGCAGCTGGCCTGAGAACAGTCTTAGCGTTGCCACCGCCCCCGCGAAACGCTCACCCGCCGCAACTGATTGTCAGTTTTTCGGCCTGCAACACGTTCACAGGAGGAGAGAAATACTGTTGTCCTGCTTGCCTTGTCGCGAGTTCTTCAATCTCAGACACCTCGCGGCGTGATGCCGCCCACTCCCGCGTGACGGAGCGCGAGACGGCCCTCGGGGAGTCTCCGCGGGCCCTCTTCTGGATCTCCTGGGGGGCTGTGCCAGGTCCGCCCCGAGGCTTCAGGGGCGTCTGCGGTGCTCCCGGGAGCCTCCAGGGGCCTCCTCCTCCTCCTCCTCCTCCTCCTCCTCCTCCTCCTCCTCCTCCTCCTCCTCCTTCCGTAGCCATTTTGGCTCAACATGCTTGCACTGTGGGGGCTCCGCGCCTCCGTGCCTGCAAGGATACCGCTAGTCCGCGGCAGTCTCCAAGATTTTTCACCGAATGAGCTCCTGGAGGAGCAAGGTTTGTTACAATACACTCCCTACAGTGCCTGTGGTGGCTTTCTAGCCTGACACGTCTGCAGCCATGGGGGTCGAAGCTGCTGCCCGCACCTCTGCCGAACGCAGCCGCTCGGGCGAGCGCAGGAGCGCCGCCACAGCCAGCGGCAGCAGCGCGTCTGGAGCCGATCAGCTTCAGGTGCAAGACCCGTGGCGAGCAGCAGGAGTGGGAGCTGACGGTGGACAACTGCAAGCGGGACTCGCAGCCGCAGAAGAACGCATCAAAGCACAGCTCAAGCAGCAGATGGACGCAGCGACAGCCGCACTCCAGTCCACCGTCTCCAGCTCCTTCGGCAGCCTCTCTCAAGATATTGACAACAAGCTCAAACCGCACGTGGAGCGCATCGACAGGCACCAGGCTCAGCTCGCTTCGCTTCGCTACAATAATCAACGACCAAGCTGGAGGAGGACAATGCTACGATGCGCAACCAGATCCGCACAATGCAGGCCACGCTGGCGCAGGTGGACGAGCTGGGCCAGAGCGACCACCCCGACATGCTGCGGATTACCGCCTGGGACCGACAGCCTGACCCCCAGCTCTTCGTGGCCAACTGCAGCAAGGTGGTCACCCCCGAGGCCCTCCTGGCGGCGATTGGCGCGTGGCTCAAGGCCGCTGGCGTGGAGGTGGCGCATGTGGACACCAACGAGCGCGAGCCCGCCAAGAGGCTCCACATATACCCCCCAGGCGGCGCGACGGGCAAGGCCAGGGCGCTGGCGATGGCGAAGCATCTCAAGCTCCCGTGCGGCAAGTGGCGCGACTTCACGGTGCAGGCCACGGACGGGCAGGTGGAGTGGCTCTATGTCAACCCAGACAAAAGCCCGAAGGCGGTGCGAGTGGAGATCCAGACGAAGAAGCTCATGGGCCTTTGCCAGGCCGCCATGGTCGGGGACTGGTGGGTGCAGCGGCACCTGGGCATGGTACACTGCGGCACGACGCCCGTGGCGGAAGTTGCCGCCAAGGGCATGGAGGACCCGTCCCAGGTCAATTGGAACCCAGAGGCGCGCTCAAAGCTCAAGCTGGACACGGACGCGATCATGGTCTCCTTCAGACAGCTCTTCCGCGCGGTGGGTACGGCCAGCTGGTACTCTTCCTAGCCCTCGCTGGACCCCCTGGTTGTGACCAGGGGACGCGGCGCCGTGCAGGATCGTGTCATGGAATGCGCGGGGGTTGCTGTGCGGGGATCGTTCCAAGAGAAGTAAGAAGATGGCTAAGTTGAATGAATTGATGAAGCAACAGTCTATCATCGTACTGCAAGAAGTTCACGGGAACAAGACTACACTGCAGAATTTGATCAATCGTACTGTGTACAACTACAATGTCTACTTCAGCGGTGTGGAAGTGATGGGAGCTGGTGGAGTAGCAATCTTCGTCCCGTGTGTTGACGAAGCGGGATTGGATGATGAAGCGATCCCGCGAATCGTTCCTCGAGTGGTGGTGCAAGGCAGAGTTCTAATGATTGTTATCCAAAACATCCAGATGAAGACGGAGGTCCGCATCTACAACATTCACAACTATGAGATGGACGCTTCACATCGACAGAAAGTTCGTGACTGCTGGCAAGAGCACAGTGATTGGGCGCATGCTGACCCACAACATCGGCTCTTTGTGGCACTCGGGGACCTCAATTACAGTGACAACCCGAACGAGAGCGTGCTGCGCCCACAAGCGCGACAAGCACATCGGTCAACAGCAGGGCGCGCCAACCATGGAGAACCATTCTGGAGGCAGCTGATCAACGGTTCCTCGAAGATGACGGAAATCATAACACCTGCCTCCACACATGACGACAAGCACACGATCGGGTCTTTACGTCGCCCCCTCCCCACTTCGTCCGCGAGAACAAGATTGTTGTGAGCGTCCGATACGACGCGCAGGAGTTATCTTTGTGGAAGCTCAGCGACCATGCGATGGTGGAGCTCAAGCTGGAGCCGCGCTCTGAGGCGCCCAAGGCTGAGCAGGCCATGCAGAAGCAGATCGAGATCCTCCTTGCCGCCTGCGAGCTGGACAGCATGACGGTCTCTGAGCAGCGGGAGTGCGTCGAGCGGCAGATGGTGTTGGCAGCCGAGACGACGCGCAACATCCTGCCCCAGACATCGATTGGGGACAACACCGACGACGGCTTGGACGCACAGGCAATGGCGCAGCGGGCTGTCGCGCGGGCGGTCTGGCGCCAGGATCGGCGGCTTGCTGGCCGGCTGATAGCCAACGCCGCCACGGGCCAGCAGCGCCTGCTCGTCGTCGGCCAGGAGGTGCAGCTGCGCAATGCAGCGGCCTTCGAGACCGAGGTGCTCGCATGCAATGAGGCACGCGCGGAGCGAGCCCTGCAGCGCGCTTCATCGGAGGGAGTGGGGAGGCACTTGGGTGGGGGGCGGATTAAGGAGATCACGTTTCGCCGAGCACTTCTTTGGAAGCCCCAGGGCCGTAGGCTCGTTCTCCAGGGTATCCAGCATGCGCAAGAGGGCCACGGCGCCCGCTCTCATATCGTAAGAGGTGCACGGAATATCTCCGAGGCCATTCGGGAGCACTGGGAGCCAGTCTTTAAGGGGGGAGTAGAGGACACCCCAGCGCAAGAGGCCTTCATAGAGCGATACCCCCCCTCCCCTGAGCCTTACGAGCTCCCCCCTCCTGACCTCGAAGACCTCCAGAGGGCCCTTATGCGGGGTAAGTCCTCCTCCCCAGGCCCCGATCGCCCCCCCTGCAAAGCCTGGCTCGCCCACCTTGTTCTTGCTACCGTTCTCCACTCTTTGCTCTTGTTTCTCTTTAGCGGCGCCTCTCCCCCCCCTGCGCTCAACCGCGGCATTTTCGCTTCCATTCCGAAGGGTGAAGACGAATTCGACCCAGTTGATTGCGCGCGCCAGCCTGGCCACCTCAGGCCACCCAGTCTGGAAAATTGCGATGCTAAAGCTGTGGCCACCTCGATTAATTTGCGACTCAAACGCGTGGCAGAGCGCCGCGCCCACATTGCGCAGCAAGGATTCGTCAATGGCCGCAGCGTTGCTCGACACATCGCGCGATTGGACACGCCTTGCCGCATTGCAGGCTTAGGGGAATATGCAGATATAAGAATGCCAGTTTTGTCAGCAATGATGCGAAGACAGCATTCCCCAGCATGAGTCAAACCTGGCTGAAGAGAGTTCTCCAGATATACCTGCTCCCAGAGCCATACTTGTGCTATCAGAGCCCTGATGTGCAATGCAGTAGGCTTCCTTCGTGTCGGTTATGAGGTTCGAGAATTTGTCACTCTCTCTTCGGGGGCCCCTCAAGGCTGCCCGCTCTCGGGGACTCTCTGGGCTCTGGGGGCGGACCCCCTTCGTTCGTGCTCTCGTTTCGTCTCTGGAAGCAGCTGGGGGCTCAGAAGACGACCTTGGAGCTTGTGCCGACGACGTAGGAGCCGCGCTAGGCAACATTCGACACCTTCGTTCCCTCCTTCCCCCCTTCGAGGCTGCTGCTGCTCTTGCTGGCCTTCTCCTCCAGCCCAAAAAGTGTTGCCTGGTGCCGCTGTGGTCCTGTCTCAATGCAGACCTCATTGAG